CCCACTTTTGGGTCATGATCCATGGGTTAAGAAGTACCAATTTAAAACATGGGGACTGCCTATGGACAGCCTGCCCATTTCTCTGGTACACGAGAGTACAGGCTTCCCCAGAGGTGCAGGGTAGGGTGGGCAGGAAGCAGTCTTCTGGTGCTCCCTGCCTGGAGAGCTCATCTGTGTAGCCATTTAGCCAGGAAGCTGGACCATACATTCACTCTAGCTCCCAGGATACTTTTATATAAGAATTTTGGAGAAATTCTCATCAGTAAAAACAAACATCTGTGCATAGTCAGTGTTTGTCACAGCCACAAAATCCTGAGGTTTCCATATGGGCCCTAGATTAAGCACCTCAGCAGAAGGGGGCATGATTTATTTCTGGGCCCCTGGCAGATAATAAATGTATTGCATGGTTAACAGTAAGTTACAACATGTCATATGCTCAGAAAATTTACTGTGCAAGAAAATGGCAAACCAGACACAAAGATGTTCTAGTTAATTGCCACAACAATGTTCACATTTAACTGGAACATCTTTGTGGCTTGTTTGTATAGTACTTTAATTTGAATCTGTGGCATGTTAAGTCTTGCCTGGCAGCCCTGCATGCAGATTACATGACAAGGCTTTTAAAGGTGCCATGTGGGGAGTTAATGGGCTCTCCCTTTCCTGGAGCATTTCAAGCCTTGCCTGGCAGCTGCTTATTTAAAGGTGCTGAGGTACAGGATATAAATTCATCTAACGAAATAAAATTCCTCAGACCCTAATGTGTGCACTGGTTCCTTTAAATATGTAGCACTAGCAAGTGTAAAGCTGTTGGCACCCCAGCATCTTTAAAGCCCTGCTGTCTTTAAATTTGTTAGCCGAGTTGTTTTAAGGGTTCCAGGACAAGCAATGGGATCTGAGGAATTTTATCCTTGATCCCTAAAATCATGCATTCTGCCATGCACATCTGGCACTCACCCTATGACATCATTAACTGTCTGATATTAGGATATCTTGGCACAAGGCAGCAAAAATAACGTGCTTGGAAACATTATCCTAATGCCCACCTTTATGAATAGATCAGGTTTTTAACCTTTTTTCATTGGCAGACCCCTAACATTTTTCAAATGGAGGTGCAGACCCCTTTAAATTGTAAGTATGGACATTCATATACTTTTGATTGATCATAATCATTTTTTGCAGATCCCTTAAACAGTCTGTGGACTCCCAGGGGCCTGTGGCCCACAGGTTGAAATCCACTGGAATAAGTAGTTAATAAACAATCTTCTGTAATAAAAAAACCCAAAAAACAGAGCAACACAAGCAAACAAAAACTATCAATTAAACAATGATCTAAACCAATTATTAAAGCAATGGTCCACTGATCGAATTCTCCAGCATACAGATAAATACAAAAGATGTTTTATAGGTGCAGACACCAAGATCACACTCCAAAAAAACCCAAAAAAACCGCATGGTCATATTATACTGATTAAATTAATATTTTATGCTGACGCTATAGTGACCTGAGCATTTTATGTAAATAAAATGTGAGTTTTAATGGTTTCCTCCTAAGCTCTTTAAGATTTCATATTAGGGACTTACTCATATTGTGATATTGTAGAAATTAAAAAAAATAATAATAATAAAAAAAAAAAAAATCGAGTGATATCTGTGAAATCCACGGGGGGCGTGGGGGTGGCTTACTAAAAATAAAATGCTGGCTCCCTGCAGTCCTCATGGCCATGGTGAGAGCCAGCAGTCCTCATGGCTGCTACACCTATTGACTGAGAGGGTTACCTGTCATGCGGTCCCACCCCCCTCCAATCAGCAGTGAGGGGAGTGGCCAAATGACGGATAGACCTCTCAACCAATCAACAGGCAGGAGTGGGACCACTGTGGCCCCCCAGCCAATCAGAGGCATGAGGGTGACCTGTCATGATAAACCTACAAGAATGGCGGCCGGACCCACGATCTGCCCACACAATCTGCTGCCTGCCTCCTCGATTTAGGTAGAACCCTATTCACAGTACTGTATCTCAAGGACAGCCCTATTAAGCGGATTCTCTCCTTCAGTTTACTCTTTCTTTTAATTACCAGCAGTTGGCTTAGACTGCAAGGGCATTACATTTCAATCTGATTCTGAGTTCTGATGTACTATATAACATAAGCAGGCTTAAAACTGGAAAATACTTGTGTCTACGTACCTATTACAAACACACTCAGAACTAGGTCTTTAAGCAGTATCTGTAGTAATAACATCAACATCAAAACACAATCATGGGTTCTCCAATAAGCTGTGTACTATGATGGTGTAGTTACAAAGAAACACTGAAACCAATCTAAAAAAAAACTTCTCTAGATATCTTCATAATGACTTGATCTTCCATCTGAGGAAGAAAGGAGTTAGCAAAGGAATCCAAACAAGACTTCCATATTTGTTCCATTTCTTTTTTGCTTTACTCACTTTTTCAACAAGTTAAAGTTTAACCTCTGCCTCCCTCAACTTACAAACAAGGGCTCCAACCCTGACATTCTAAGGCAATTCTCTCAACACCAAAAGCTTCTTAGAACTAGTGCCTCTGTTTTCTAGGTGCTTCACCCATTTTTTAAACATCCTGCAACATCCAGGTGTAATCATTGCCATGAACCCTGAAGTGTTTGTGGCATGTCATGAATGTTTTCTTGTATTCTGCTGTAATGATATGGATGTGTGGTCACATTGGAAACCCAATGTTATCCTGTATCTATTTATGTTCCTGTTATCACTGTATAGATTATGTTGAACTATCTGTAAATATCTTTATAGTTTTGGATACAGTTTATCCAAGGGAAGGGAGTGTGTGGAATGACTAAATATCTCTTGTTATTGCGACTCTAGGGCAAGGTCTGTAGAGCAGGGGTGCTCAAACCCCAGCCCAGGAGCCAGATCTGGCCCATGGCACCATGTCAATTGGTCCACAGGGCTCCTCATGAGCCTGTGAGGAATCTTGCAGGCTGTGGCCCTGCAGGCTAGATCAGGTGCACAGGATGGCACAGGGCTGGAACAAGATCCAGGAGCCTGATCCTGGCTCACAGGGCAACGTGGAGGTGGCAGGGGGCCCAATCCAGTCCATGGACTGGCCTTGAACTATTCATTTGGCCTGCAGGGCTAAAACTTTGAGCTTCAGTGCTAGCAAAGGCATCTGAAAGGAATGGCCCACCTAGACAAAGGGGTGCCAGGTACCTCAGGCAGGCCAGAACTTTCGAGAACGGTTTTGGGGGTGGGGGATGCTGTATGGAAAGAGTTAAGCGGTTAGCTGTGGGCTGGCAGTTGTCAGGCCCAGCAGAAATCCACAGAAAGGCTAATTTCCAGTGTTGCTCTCAAGACTCTCTCAAAGGCCAAGAAGTAGCTAGATGAACGGGCAAGGAATTTTTTTTTGCTTTGCCTTTCTGTCTCCAGATCTATTGTCAGTTTTGCATTTGCAATCTTTTTATCCTATGAAATACATCTTTTAGTTTGGCTCCTACATATTGCCTGTGGAAAGAGTATTTTCTAGGTAAGTAATATTTCAGGTAGACCTCTCCACAGAGAGGAGGACCTAAAAAAAAAAAATCTATGAAAACCCCACGGGGTCATCATCTGGGGCTGGAAGAGATTCCTTCACTGCATCTGCAGGCTCTGGTATAAAGGCAATGGAGTTGAGGGTTGCCGGGGTGAGGAGCTATCCCAGGGCAACCTCAGTTTGTTTGTTGGTAGTATCACACAGGGGAAAAACACTCAGGGCTCTACCCTCTTCCCCTGCCCACAGTTAGGTTTGCAACAATCATCCTTATTTTAAAAGCAATGAAAGTTTCATTAAAAATATTTTTAAATATCTCATGGATCTAGTCTACACAGTTTTTGTACAGGTATAACTATAAATTTTGGTACAGGTATAACTATATTAAGTAAGGGTCTTATGTCCTATGACAATAGTTATACTGGTCCGACCCCTGGTGTGTTATGCAGTTATACCAGTAGAAAGGTATCTTATGTCAGTTTAGCTTACTACCTTTCTTGGCCAGAAATCTCTATACCACAATAAAACAGCTTTATACTGCTACAGATGTATCCCCACTAGGGAATATGTGCCACTGATTTTATCAATATAACTTCTGAAGAGAGAATGACATAGAAAAATCCTTTACAATGTGAAAAAATGTGTTACTAAATGTAGGCACCAATGACATGAGAAAAATATAGTACTCACTTTTGGTGATAAAGCAGCTTGTCAATATTCTTCCTTTTTCCTTTTGCCAAAATGTTCCACACAGAGATTTTCTTAATTTACTCTCCCTATAGGTGTTAACATGTGGTTTGTGCCTGTTGGATCTTTCTTAGAAGATCTAAGTCCCCAAAGGCAGCTAATGCACAGTGTTGTGGGTAGTTATGTTCAGTTCAAATAAACCGAATGGCAATTGTTTCAGACTTACCCATGGAAACTAATATGTACTTCAACAATGTCATAATCTTCTAGAAAGAAGTTGGATAATCTTGTCTAAGCAAGTACTGGAGATAGGGAAAGCAGGATTGCAAAACCTTCAGAATATTTATGCCTGGCATTGCACATTAACCCCATTCAGCCCTCTGGGACTTCCTAGCACACATCTCTCTCAACTGCTGGCGCCAAGAAGTTAAAAGGTCTGCATGTATATTGTAATCAGTTCTAAAGTCAGGTAAAAGACCACAAATGCTAACTGGCTTTGCCTCAAAATGAATGAACGATGCCTTATTTTAGCTGTGGAAATCTAAACTGACCAGTAGTAACGAAACTCCTGGAGGACAGATGATACCAATACAAGCATTTAAACCAAACAAAATAATTCTCTCGCAACTTGAAGGCACTTCAAATTTGTGTCACAACGACATGTGGCAGTATTGCTAGGAGTACTGATTAGCAAAGAAATCCTTCTTTCTGTCAAAGTCTGTTCTAAAAAACATTTTCCTATAGGTCTATTAAGGAAAATATAAACAGCTTGCAGAAATGAAAGCTGATTCTTACCTTGAGCAGGATCAGGTGGGCCAAACTCTAGAGAATATCGTAGAATGAAGTTGTTGTTCCACACATAAAGTTGGTTATCTCTTGGATTGTAATCCACTGCAGCAACATACTGGTACTGGTTGGGGAAAGAAACATCTACATATTCTCCTCTGCTTAACCTGGTGTTGTAAATGTAATCAATTGTGTTCTTGCCTGTTTCACTTTCGTTGTCTTGATATACTGATCGAACTACATAGAGGACTCCACAGATCATAAAGGCATTGGATGCAGCCCTTTTGTCATATGTGGTTTCCCATGTTGCTTCAAAACGAAGTGTATATGGATTCAGTTGGCTAATGACTATCATTCCATTGTTCTGTTCCGTAGCATAAATTACCCATAAACCATTTTCGTCAACTGCCAAGTCAATATCAGTTTTTCCTCCCCATCTGTATGGAGAAGTGTCATGGTAGTTAGCATAATTGATAATGGCCTCTCCACTCTTGATTCTAGTCCTCAAGTCAAACTTTACTATGTTCCTGGTTCTTTCTTTGTTAAAAAAGACAGCACCATCATATACCACAAATCCAGTACCATCCACTCGATTTGGAAGTTTATATGTTGTCTGTTGGCGTCCATTTTGGAAGTCCTCTAAAGAAGCATATTCTATCAAAGTATCAGTGCGATATGGAGTCCATGGCATGAAGTATATTTTATCTGCAGCCTGGAGAGGATCTTTGCACCAAGCACCTGCCTTTTGTTCAGCTTCATATAAATACGGTGAATCCACAATTGCTTTCAACGTCCCCGGGCAAACAAAAACTAACAGTCACAGAGAGAAGCAAGACAAGAATTATGTCAAATTAAAACATTCATGCAATCAAAAAATGCTTGGTAAATCATAATGGTTGTGTCAGGAAGAAAACATCAACTTAACTGGCACTGGATTATACCTTATTTTATAATTAGTACAATTATTACCTTTATCATCCACTTTTCTTAAAGTTACCATGTTCTTGCTGTACCAATATAAAAAGTGGATGGAAACTGCTTTCACTAGTACAGACCAAGGCTCAATGGCATACACGTACAACTGAAAATGTAGAGCTAGTCTTCCATTTTCATCTTAGACTTTTAGTGAATACAGGATTTACGCTCCAGAGCTTTTAACTGGTGTGCAGCAGTGTGTTAGGTCATTTCAGTCCAAAAAAAAAAAAAAATCACATCAACTTGTTTAGAACTTTAAGAAGTGGCGAGGCTGAAAAAGGAGGTGCCTCAATTAAAAAGTAAAGAAACAAAACAAATCATCAGGTATATAGAGAAAGCAATTAGGAGCAGAGAAAACAAAACACAACCAAAGCAATGAATGGAACAGACCAGGAAACCCTGTAACCATGGCATGCTATGGAGAGGGTTCTGGAAGCCAGGCAAAATGACACTTTATTAACAAGAGAGTACCCAAGGGTGAGAAAAAGAGAGGGAAAAAGAGACAGAGAGAGGGAGAAAGAGAAAGCAAGGGAGTCTCCCGTCCAACCCAAGTATTTCAGACACTATACCCCACCACCTATTTTAAGCAGCCAAGTCACTTTATTGCAAACAGTCGACTTCTTTATGAGGTGTACTTATGAGATCCTGCTGATTATCATAATATCAGAGTGTTGTGGGGAGGGGAAGGGAAGAGGTTAACATCCATAAGGCACATAACAAGGAGCTGGGGTTTGGACTGTATACGTTATTTACCTTTTTGCTCCACTTCTATTTTAAGCATTGGACGAAAAATAAAAAAGTGCAAGGAAAAAAGAAAGAAGATTAACATAAATTGACTATTAATCTAGGATTAAATTAGCAACAGACGCTAAATATAGGGAGAATAAGAACTGCACTATATTGGATAAAGAGAAACAGACAACAGGAAAACCTAGCAGGAGAAAGATTCTAAGGTTACATAAGTGAACATGGATCAATCATTTTAGTAGATTAAGGAGGCAATACAGATATGTTGGCATGTAGTTTCACTTAGTGAGCCTGAATAAATAATGAATGACTTTACTAATGCATGATATACATATTCTTCTCCTTCCCAAATTCACAGCATAAATCCTATCAAGTTGTTTTTTTAATGCTGTATTAATATATATGTGTGTATGCGTGTGTGTTTGTAAACATACACATATTAATTAAATAAAATATATAAATAAATGTGTGTGCTTATAAACCCCTCCCCTCAATTAATCCTTTGGGCTTTTAGTTGTTTTTTTTCTTGTAAGGGAAGTTGCTCATTTTCTTTAGCTTCCTTAGGTTGTCTCCCCATTCTCCCCTCCCCTCCCCTCCCCTCCCCTCCCCTCGGCGTGTTAATCTTGAAAAATACTGTAACTTCTCAGTCTAGAACTGCAAGATCAGACTAGGAGGAACAAGCGCAAACATCTAGAAGAAAGAAGCAAAAGCACAGTAAGGAAGAAGAAAAGAGAAGAAAAAGTTAACATCAGATATTCTTCAGCATCATCGATTAAGCCCGAAACAGCAAGCTAGTATGCAAAGACAGTCAGACCAAGCATTTAAAATAAGTACCCATCCCCACCAGACACACACCAAAAAAGGAAAATGCCTTCCTAAAACAAACCTGATTAGCAGAATTAAATTACTAAAACAATTATTTTCCAAAGATGCTCCAAGAAATAGATTACAGTTACATGAAGGGTGTTATACAACCAAAGTCCAGCTAGTAAATAGCTTCTCAATAATTACTACTCATATAAAGTAGTTCACATTGTCAGTGGGCTTTGAAGTATGTCTGTCAGTTTCATAAAATGATCTGGATAATGCCAGTTGCACTATTCTTTGTAACAGCATCTGTTGATACAAAGGACATGTATTCAAAACTATTTGTACAGCTATTACAACTTTGGCATTATGGTATTATCCATGAAAGGTATTTGTTGTTCCAAAAAATATTCTGGGTTTTCAGTTTCATTTAACAAAATTACATACGATTATTTTCTTAGAATGGCACTGGATGATCCACCTAATGTTTCTTTAAGGGATAATTCAAGAACTTTTTTTGACTAATGTTCTCAAAATGGATGGTAGTTTTGCTAAACATTGCTCATTTATACATTTTCAGATAACATACTTCTTTTCCTGCAATTTGCAATTCTGGAGTTATCTGAGTAAAAAAACAGAATTCTTATGTTTCCACAACTCAGTGTTAATGACTTTCAGATGATTCTGTCTGTGAACTATTATGCATGAGCTTATTCCTCAGCAATGAGAAATATTGTACCTGCTTAGAATTAGTAATAGTAGGACAGGGGCAAAAAGACAGGGATAACAAAAATCATTAGTGGCATGTCTACTCTGAGTACATTTGTGTACAGCTGTACATTTTTCAGGGACAGATGGGCTAATTGAAATAAACAAATGCTTCAAAGTCCAATCAATAGAGAGAGAGAGAGAGAGAGAGAGACAGAGAGAGAGACACACTTTTAAAATGGATTCCATTGAATTCCTGAGTCCAAATAAGGCTTAAAATAAAATTTTATGTACAGATTTAGAAAGCGGTTCTTCTGATGTGCTTATTAATCCTAAAAGGGCTGACTTCTGTTATTCAAAGTATCAACATGCATTGTGCAGCATAATTGAGAGAAATGTCAAGTAGGGCATTTCAATTTCTTTGAAATTTAAGCAATAGATCTGAATTTTGAGATGCAAACAAAAGAAGCTTCTCACTGAGGATTTCTTTATGAGGGCCATGAATATAGAACCCAGGAAGCCCAATCAATATGTATGATCTGAAAGGCAGCTATGTATTTATGGAGGCCAGATAGACATAGAAAAGCTAATATACTACACGCTGTACAAGGGTGACACGTTAAATCTGATGTTTGAGAGCTCATACCTTTTCCCATGAAATCCATACTACTAGCACTATTTTTTACTGCCTCATGGGCAAAAAGCAGTCACTATGATTTGAAGCACGTTTTGCAAAATTGTGATAATTAAAGAGGGAGGGACCAATTCAGAAAAGTGAGAACTGGAATCTGAACTGTTTGGTTTGAAAATGTTTGAATCAGTCAACATCTCCCCTTTAGCCCAACTTTCTGAAATCCTTTAATGACGTTCTTACGTTGGGCTAACTGCTATTTGCAAATCTTGTGATTTTAGGCATTTCAGCTGGCCAGACAGAGAATGAACAGAGTCTCCCAAAGCTCATTGCTCTCCAAGCTGAAATGTATAACAGAGAACATTGAAGTTGGAAGAACATAAGGTTACATTTTGTGGGGTAGGGGGAAATGGAATACTAAGATAAGGTGAGGTTTGGATAAATGGTAATATTTGTCAAACTGGTGTCCCATAGGTTTTGAGAATTGTCAGTAACTGGAGATAATTCCTATGACAACTCTGTAATAACTCTTGGTGTCACCTCTGTACATCCTGCAGTTACAATTTTCTAAACTTTACTTGAAAGTACAAAAGATGTCGAGAGACTTGAATTATATTAGCACAGGATAATTCGAGGGGTATGTCAATGGAATTATCACTAAAAAACAAAACAATAGCAATCATTTTCAAGTAGAATACTACATGTTACAGGTCAGGCCGCGCTGTGGCTCTATACTTCTGATAACTGAAAAAGAAAAAGTTCCTGTAGATAGGAATACCCAATGAGTAGAATATATCCATATTTGTCTTCCTAAAACAGCACAGAAAATTATTTTAATGTTTGAAAATAATATTTGCATAATATTTTCTCTATGGACTAGCCTACCGGAACTGGCTCCAAGGACAAGTAACCTCTTGGCATTTGTCTGATCTCATGCTTTGGAATAAGATGCATTGCCCTTTTTCTGGGATTTTTGGGAACAGAAATAATGCTAAAGTAAAAGTGCCGTTTATGAAACAAAATAATTTAGGTTAGATCTGGATATCACTCCTCAAAAGTGGCACAAGAAAAATGGTTATAACAAGCCACCACTACTACACACGAGGGAGAGTACTAAGGATCAGTGTATGCAGTAGGCTTCCAATCCTACAAATGGCATAGGAAAAAAAAAATCTCCAAAGCACCCAGTTCACAATGACACAGGAATACAGAGCAGAGATGAAAAGAAAAGATGATCTGTGTTTGGCCTTTAACTGATGCTCAATACAGCTAAAATGGTGAAGCACTATGAAGAAGCATTTTGATTTAAGTTTACATTATAAAAGTGTGCGCAATAACCAGTAAGGACAGTTTTGTACTGACTTTGCTTATGCCAGAACTCATACAATTACTATTTTGAAGTGTACTTTCTGCTACTTGAGCATTTTTACATCTCAGATTTGGCTGTCTCCTATGTGAAAAGGAAGTGTGATTTTGGTTTTAGGGTTACACAACAATAACTGTATTGCCAAATTTCCCATTGCAAGCATAGTCATTTTTGTGCTGAATCACAGGATGGAGAAGCCACTGCGAAGAATGACCTAAAACAGTTTTAAAAAGCTGAATAAGCACAATTTAAAAAAACAACAGTTACATTTCAATTAAAAAAGAATATATTCATTACTGCACTAAAATAATTATGATACAATTGTAAAAAGTAGTGAATTCTGGCATTAGAAAGATATTATGCAAAACTGCTGAAGTAGCCATAAGCTACTGATTACTCAATCACAGTTAATTTTAAAAATGTTTTAAAAGTTCATTTCAAGTCACGAAACAAATTTTCTGTTTATAATAAATGTTATGTCTATTTCTTATTCTCTCCCCTATACATCTGTTTTATGTTTTTAGTTTATCGATAAATTATTAATTTTGAACCCACATCTACTTGTGCCCTCAAGCATGACAGCACAACAGTTTCTTACAAAATCTAATAATTCAGGCATTCACCTCTGATATCTCAGTGGTGGGTTCTGCCATGCACCAAAAGTAACCACAACAGCAGGTAGCCTTTCAAGTAGCTCATGATTAAAACTGAAGTCAAATCCTCTTTAGAAAACTGTAAGCCAAACCAATTTGTCAGCAACTGGTATTGGGCAAAAGTACAAATTTCTATCTGGCCTACTGAATAGCTAATTCAAGTTTGTTTTCTGGAAAAACAGTAGCCTTAAAAGCCAAACACTTAAGAACACAGACAGACACTTGGCCAGCATCACACTATGGCTTCCTTCCACACTTTGTGAAGCTAATTGGAGGCCCTAGTCTGTAAGTGCTCTGCATGCATAATGGTTCTGTAGGCCATAAACATATGCTTCTTTAGCATGTAATACCACTCCAGCACTAACTATGAAGGCTAGGGGAAGTGAACAAGATCAAAAATTGTATACTTACTGTAAGGAACACATTCATATTGGACTTCAAGATATTTGTATGTTCCAGGACAGGGATCAGGAAAGACATCTGACCCAGTAACTACTATACACTGTGTTCGGTTGTTGCACCTGTAGAGGGGAAAAGAAGGCTAATTTAAAGGAAATTTTAAGCTGCAAGTTTATGCTAACATAGTGCAATATGGTGCTGATTTTCTTCATATGTTGGTCAATCCAATCAATAAAGCACTAGAGTTAATTAGTATGAAGCTACTTTATATAGTTTAAAGGCAATACCTCATTTACCTGGAATGCAATGTGCCCTGAAATAAAATAATTCTGCTTGTCAAAAACAAGGTGTGTAAGAAAAAAATTCTCTTTCCTTGACTAAGTAACTGAGTAGCAGCAACAAAGAAGATAAGCCTGCTCACTGTTCTACTCCTTATGGAACATGTGCACACTTCACCAAGGTTTTGCTTGTAAGTGGCACATTCCAGTTACCAGCAAAATTTTGTTAGCAAAGAGGTACATGTTGCGCACAAGGAAATATGGTGTTTTAACGTAAATTTTGCTTATTTCTAAAGTTAACTCACCTTTTTTTGATTGAGGAAACTGCCCCAAATAAATATTGGGTTCATATGACTCTCTATGGCACCGTGTTTTGGTATAAGTTTACATTTCAAAATAATGTGTAATAACAAATATGAATGGCTTTGACAAGGCTTTGCTCATACCATAACTCACTGTCTTGCTTTTTAAAGATGTATGTACTGCTTAATGTGTGCATATCTGTCTCAGAAAAGCTTTACTTCCTCTGCCAAAAGGAAGATGATTTTGGTTTGAAGGTTACTGCAGACAAAGAACATTAAACTTCACACTTAAATTACTGTATTGTTAAACATCCCAGGGCAAGTATGGCCATGCCTCTGTTGGATTACAGGAAGAGGTAAAGAATGACCTTTTGAAGAAATAAGAAAAGCAGTTAAAATGATGAATCAGCTGAAAGATATTCAAACTAAAATACTGTGCAAGAAAATCTCTTTATTTCATTAAGAAATCTTTTGAAAACCACTGAATTGTGATATGAGAACAAATTTTGTGCAAATACCTGCAATAGCCAGAAACCAATGAGTTTACAATACCTTGTACACAAAATAGCAAACGTTAGAATTGGCATCAATTTCAGATTACTCAGGTATATGAAGTACAAAAATAATATTAAATTTAAATTAACCTCACACAGTTGCAACAAAGCGCATGAAACTTAATAAACTCTGTAAGTCTCCTACACAGAGGCAAAAAGAAACACAGAAGTGAAAATAAATCGTTAGAAAAGCATTGGCAACTAAAAGGAAGAGAGTTTGGCTGATTTCATTGGTGAGTTCTGTTTGTCAGCAAACTGAATAAAAGAAGCCCAAAGTTAAATAATAGTCTAGCCTTTGACTCCAGTCATATATTAAGTTTCCTCTTACCACCACTTCCCACACTCCTGAATACTGGATCTCAAGTTAAGGTAATACATCTTGCTACCAATGGATTTTTACAGCTGCCCATTGCCAAGAGATGCAAGATCACTCTGTTCTTCAATTCATGCTACCTCATAAAAGGTCAGCTATAACTATAACTGATAACTCTCCCCATTTCTTCTGTAGCAGTGGTTCTTAATCTTTTTAAACTCAAGGAACCCCTCCAAAAATACTCAGAATTTAGCAGCACACCATTAAAATTTTAATTTAAATAGATTATGCATATTATCATCTACACATTACAAACCTATTATTAATTCATCTGTTGTAGTATGAATTTTTGCATATTAGTTATGTTTAAATGATAATAGTATTAAATTGATCAACCTCTATGATTGTATGAAGAACTAAAACTCCATTTTGTGCTTGTTCCCTGCTTGACATGAGTAGCTGAACTTTGTATGCCCTGTATACATGAGTGTCTGTGTGAATAGTGAAAGAATGGTAACTATTTGCATGAAAACAGAAGAAAATGTAATTGATTGTGTAAGCAACAAGGCACCAATGTATGTTACCAGACAGTAACCTAATTAAGCTAATTAATGGATGGCTGAAGAACTCATCTGTAATCAGGTGCAAAGAAGATAGTAAGAAAGAATTTTGCATATCCTTCCATTTGAACTACACAATGACTGAAATACCAACTCGGAGATGCAGACAATGCTTCAAGGCAAAGATACCAATGAAGATACCAACTTTACTGGAATGACCTCAGTGGAGATGCACTGGAATGACCTCAAGTTGATATCTCAGAAGAAACAACCCCTAATTAAAGACTGAGCATGAAAAATCCCAATGCTGAACAAAGTCTTGAAATCCCTATAAAAGTGAGATGCAGACAAGCCAAGAGGCAGAATCCATTCTTTGCAACATCATGGAGCACAGGCATGCATGCCGGTATACCCCCGCTCCTATCACCCTCAATAAGCCTGGACCCAGCCACCCAGTGCTAATATTGAGTAACATCTGCTGGTAACTATAACATCTTACTGGAGCAGTTTTGTCTGTATGTATGCTTGTTTATGTCTGTTTGTATGACTGGTGTGTCGAAGCTTATGTATCTGCTTCATGGCACCAATAAACATGGCATTTTGCCTTATCCCCCTTTATCAGGTCTCACTCTTAATTAGAGCTATTGGCAATTTTAAGTAACAATGTTAGCAGTAGAATAGGTCATTATAATTCTACCATATTCACCCCACTACCATAGACACCAGCCAGGTGGAACTGTGTCACACTCCTGCAAGACCAGATTGAGAAGCAGCTGTGGCAGGAGTATGTGCTCTTGCTGTAGTTAGCCCTGGTCTGACCTTGCATGGTGTCTCCTAGAAACAGAGGCACATGGGCAGGTAGAACTGTCCCACATGCCTTAGTTTTAAGGAGGCAAGTGGGAACAGAACTGATTAGCAGCTGCAGCAGCAGCACTTCATTATGCAGGCAGGCACACAATTTCTGCTGCATTCTTCTTGGTTCAGCTCTAACGTGCATCCTAAAAAATGGAGCAGTATGACATAGCTCTACCTAATAGTAATGGCATTTATTTCCAGACTGCCACTGCCACAGGGTGAAACTGTCCTGTGTGCCTTTGTTTTCAGGAGGCACACTGGAACCAAAGCAGGAAAAGCTACAGAAGAAACAGTGCAGCTGCCTAAATGATGTAATGCATACAAGTGTGCCTTTCTGCAGCAGCTGCTTGTCAGCTTCCTATGGCAATATCTCCTGAAAATAGAGGTGCATGGGACAATTTCACCCCATGGCAGCAGTTATGGCAGGTTCTTGTTGCAGTTAAGAACCACTGTTTTACAGTAATGAAATAGTAGAGTAGATCTGTCAGGACTGAATGAACAATATATATACTCCTTGCCATATAAATTCTTAAACAACAACCTTACACACTTTACTAATTCGGTTTCCATAGAGCCACTAAACATTTGCTGTTAAGACTGTCAAGAGAAGTAGGGGATGTCCAGGTTTTTTTGCATGCTGAACCATAGGAACAACTTAAGGATCGATAAGTAGGGTCTAGCTTTGATCTCCATCTCAATGCTCCCCTTCACTAGGGATAGAAGTTACACAATAAGTGATCAGAAAACTAGTTTAAACCTGTAACAGAACATAAGTTTCGTACACATAAACCAGTTTCAGAATGGCCAAAACTGGTTTAAAGTTACAACTGGTTGAATGTTGCATCAAACTTAATGATTTGGGTCAAACTGGTTTACGGAACTTCTGTCCCAGACCCCTTCCTGGTTTAAGTTAAACCAGAGCCCCCCAGCATCCCAGCATGCTTCTAAGTCCTGGGCTGTGCTGTGCTGTCTGTTCCGGACAGCAGGGCTGGCCCTGGCCCTCTGTTGTCTGAGCACGGGAGCGGGCATCGCCAGACGCTGGCACAGCATGGCCCCCTAAGGCTAAGTTGGCAGGGAGGGGGGTTATTCCCCACTTCCGTTCCCTCCCTCCCCTCTTCCCCCAGAGACCGCAAGGGTCTGCCTGGCCCCTGTTAGGGTCACTCCCCCCTCTCAGCTACAGTGGCAGGGTAGGGGTGTGGCCAGAGCTGGCTGGCCAGCATGGCCCCACCATCTGCCTGCCTCACCTGCAGCAGAGGTGAGGTTGGGGGGCTGAGGCTGGGGGGCTAAGCGGGGCTGGCCTGCTGGCGCTGCTAAGGATAGGCACAGAGGGGTTGGCCCAGGCTGGGCAACAGGGGCAGGGCCCTTCCCAGTCAGCCGCAGCTCAAGCTGGGATCACAGGAGCTGTGCAGCTGGACCGCTTCCAGCTCCTCACACCCTGGCCAAGCCAGACTGTCATGGAGTTGCAGGTGGCTGGGAAGGGCCCTGCCCCCGTGGCCCAGCCCAGCCCCTACATGCCAACCCTGCTCAGCCCTGGCTGAGGCAGGCTGATAATGGGGACAGCCCAGGGGTGGGATCCTTCCCAGCCAGCTGCAGCTCCATAACAGCCCAACCCAGAGCACAAAGGTGGTGGTTTGGCCAGGCAGCAGCTACAAGCAGGTGCCCTGGCAGCCAGACTGGTCATGTGGGATGTGCCTGTGGCTTCCCAAGCCACCTTGGAAGCACTGGCAGTCCCAGAGCTCAACAGCTGCCTGTGGGGCTCATGTGCCCACAGTTGCCACCATGCTCACTGTCCATCACTGTATGCTGGCCAGGGCTAGGGGGCTATTCTACTTCCATCTCCAGATGCTGATGCTGCCTCTGCTACAGTGCATTAAGTGGGTGGGCAGGAAGCTTCAGCCTGGAAGCTTCTGCCCAGGGCATGGAGCTCTAGTTCTCACTCCTGGCTGGATGGATGGTGGGGCTGGCCCAGGCTGGGCCACAGGGGAGGGCCCTTTCCAGCTGGCTGCAGCTTGGGCTGAGGCCGTGAGAGCTGTGCAACTGGATTATTCCCAGCTCCCCATGCCCAGGCTGGGCAGGGCTTTCACAGAGCTGCAACTGGCTGGGAAGGACCTTGCCCCCCACAGCCCAGGCCAGCCCCTCCCTTCAGAGCACCTGCAGCTGGCCCCGCTCAGCCCTGGCTGAGGCATGCCCTTCCCAGCTGGAGCTGAGGCTTGAGCTGGGGCCACAGGAGTTGTGCACCTGGACTGCTCTCAGCTCCCTG